CAAACTGTTTGTGTTGATCAGAAAGAAGTGACTTCCGCAGACTGGATTGTAACACCGTGAATAATCAAAACAGCTGGATAGGAACGGACAATACTCACCAAACGGCCAAAGCAGAGGTGGAGAAGGAGAACTGTTCCAATATGAGTAACACTTCAGCTGATGTGCATCACTGCTCAACCCACACCGCACCGTAAGTGTCTGTGTAAGACTGGAAGTGGCTCCACAGGCATTCTGTAGGGCTCTCATGATGCAGCTTAATGCCACAAACCCACCCATTCCTGTACATTTGCATAAATTTACATAAGAAAAACCCATAGACTTATATAAGTGAAATACTGTTTTACATGAAGGCACGATTCTATCAGTTTGGGTGTTGTTTTGTAAGATTGTATTCATGCGTGAACAAATCGCTATTCCTTTATTTGCACTTTGATTCTTTCTCTGTTACTCATTTTGATACATTTGTACATTAACACGTCTTATAACATTCCAGGTATTGCGAAAATCAGCTGTTGAATCGAGTCTATCCAGCATCTGCATTTGTATCCCAAAGCCCGTCTCTTCAGTGGTAAATAAAGTGTTTATAGAACAGCTGTTTAAGAGGAACAACCTTCGCACCTATGGGGTTGGGAGTTCGAATCCCGCCTCCACCCTGTGTGTGTGGAGTTTGCATGTTCTCCATGTGTTTCAGGGGTTTCCTCTGAGAACTCTGGTTTCCTCCTTCAATCCAAAAGCATGCATTGTAGGCTGATTTGGCATTTCCAAATTGTCCATAGTGTATGAATGTGTGTATGATTGGGAGCTACGATGGGTTGTGACCCTGTACAGGGTGTCCCCCGCCTCGTTCCCAGAGTTCCCTGGGATAGGCTCCAGGCTCCATTGCGACCCTGTGTTGGAAGATGGATGGATGGATGGATGGGTTCTCATCCTGTGCTCTACATTTGGATTTTGTGATCTGCATTGAATACTGGCCTGATAGTACAGTAGATAGGAGCTAAAAAAAAATTCTCAATAACTCAGAATTATTCAATATTTCATGTTCTCATTGATGGTTTAATAAGAATGATGTTGGACAAACTATTACGCATTCATACTCAAAGACAGGTAGGCAGCTGCATTCATGATTTTTATATTCTTGAAGTGTAAAAATTTCATATAAAATTCTTGAATAAAAATTCAATTTCATAACTCTCTATAGAGTTCATGCTGCCTTCGGTTTTCTTTGAATACTGAATATGGTAAAAAGGAAAGCTGGGATTCTTACGTTCAAACCCGGAAACCCTTAACTCACAGTTCTGTCGTCTGTCCTTCTGAGTAATTTGTACTTTGTTTGAACAGTGCATGCTAAGCCCATCACATTTGGCATTACAGGGAAACAAAGACAACATCTAGGGTGCGTTTCACTCTGTGTAATCACCTACCGTGACTGTCATTGATAGGCTACATGAATCTACAGTCTAGGCTAGAAAGAAATCAGCCCAGCCTCGGTTTTTCATACCATTCTGTGTATTATTTATTTTTTTTATTAGACATTGGTGATTCCAAAATAATCCACAGGGGGTGCTTAGCGCTGCTAGCACATTGATACTATCCGACTCGAGTGATATGGACTTCGTGGAAAAAGGCTGTTTTTCCAATCTCACTATCTGGTCTCATTTCTTCACATAGCTGAATGATTGTGTTTGTGGATTTCATAAAGATTGATTTTGTAATTTTGTTCTTTTTTCTCCACTGTTTATATGAGACTTTGTTTTTGGACTTGCTTTGTATGAGTAAAAGTTTTTCCTTGTGTGCCTGGTCTACACAAGGTTCGTATTTTAACTCTGAAAGGTTCAGATTGTGCTTGTCATATTGATGGATGTGTGATCTTTTCTAAACTCCGAAACTGATCAGGGAAACAAAATATAATAAATCTAAACTTCTTACTGCTCTGTTTTCCTGCATTTCCCTACTACACCAAAGGCTGTGTGACACATTCCCTCTTGTGAAATCAGCCTGCTTCTGTATTGGAGTCAGTTTTTCCATTAGTGGGATCGTATGTGGAGACTCTTCCTTTCACGTGTCCCGTTCTTTTACCGTGGGCGGGGGACTTACGAACCCTGGGCTGTGCATAACGTAGTTCTGCATTAGCGTTTGGGCTCTTTCACTGCATATCTCTCAGTAGTCGATGTGACAGCCTCTGGCAAAATGCTAATGTGAGTGCTGCAGAGGCAGACCACCACCTCACTGCCACACCACCCTGAACCAGTTTCCTGTGGAGACGATTGCAGCCTTGGCTAGTTTAAAATGAGTCATTTTCTGCTCTGTATGTAAGTGGGGGAGTGGTAATTTATAAGAGACCAGCAGAATGAGGGAAGGGGGTGTAGAGGAGGAGAGATGGAGAAATAGTGGTGTGGGAGGATAGGGAGAGAAAGGGAGAGAGAGAGAGAGAGAGAGACGGGGGAGAGGATGCAGATTTTCGAATGAAAAACTTGTTTACATGGTCGAAAACAATCCGCTCAGCCGTTGCTAATGTGACAAACCCTTGTAATGGCTAATTTTGGATCCATGACTCATAAATTCATTAGCTTGTCCACCAGGAGTATGAATGCTCCAGTGTGTTTGCCCATGCTTTGCTTGCATATTGCTCTGAAATCTGGAATGTTTAGTGTAGTTTCTGTTCTAGCAAAATAATTCAGATGTTATCTTGTTGTGGACATCTTGCTAGCACGGAACATAAGCTGGCATTAATATTAATGTTGGCTAGTTACTTAACATTGGTGATAACTGACATCATTTCAATTCAATGAATACTTTTAACCAATTAACCCTTGTATGTATGATCTGTATGTCTTAACTACTACGACTAGTTTGTTTTCCAATCCTTCACTACATGGCCAGTATTAGTCTGAAAGTAAGCATGAAAGTAAAGTATAAAGCATGGAGTGTGTGTGATTTCTTTAACCATTTGAATTGGCTCTATACCAGTTTTAATACTTTATCACCCTGCGTTCCGAGATCAAGCTCCTTTCCCTGGTGAAGGCTGGAGCGTGCGGCTTCCATTTCCAGAGCATCGTGTCCTTAAGAAGCTCTCCTTTTCGATGAGCTGCTATATAAAGCTTTCTCTAGCACAACAGTTTCATCATTTAAAACCTCATGGCACTCCAGGGTTTGATGATAATTGGCCTGCTACGTGATTGAGTCCCCACTTTGGCTCATCTCTAAACAGTGGGAGGGGACAGAGTGCAGTATCGTCAGAGACCCCGCACACTCCAGCAGAGACCTCTTCACATAGTGCCACCTGGCAACGAGTCTCAGAGGCTTCACTCCTGTACCAGCCGTCTAATTGACAGCTTCTACCACCAAGTTTCAGACCCATCAAAATCTTCCTCTTGAACTCATAAAGAACTACCTCTTCCATGTTGAACTCCGATTGTAAATGCATTTTGAACCGACTTCTTCGTTTATTTCATTTGGATGTCTGTAGAATTTTGTCTTTTACTTTAAAGGGGCGGTCTGTGATTCTTAGAGCGCTCTGCTGCTGGTGAGGTGATTTGAATTCAAATAAAAAACAATAACAAGCTTTCCCATTGTACCGAAACTTCACATCCTTTGTGAGTTAAGAAATGCATCAGAGCTGAGCAGATCTGATTTGAATAGGGGAGGAGCTAAAGTCAGGGACAGGAAAATGGTTACAGAAGCCTGAATTAAAGAAGCGATCCAGCTCTACTGCGTAGTATTATTATAAACCTCATTTTCCCTGGAGCTATTCGGATGGGTATTTAGGGATCATTCTTATTACATATTACTTACACTATTGTAGAGGCACTTTTTCAAATGACAAACCTCACCTTTAATCTTTTAGCTGGGCTTTCAATATGATCATTCCAGAGCCACTGGAGAAAAACAAAAATCTCAATCTGCCAAACTCCAATGTCAACGTATCAGAAATCTCCAGACAGACAGACGTATGTACGTACGTACGTGTGGCTTGGCAAATACATGACAGGTGTATAACTCTCAGCACTGGCTCACGTTACGGACATGTGCTCTCCCTTTCCCCCCCATACACCAAAGGCTGCACCTCCAATGTCCTGTTAAGCTCCACAAGTTTGCAGAAGAAACCACTCTTATAATCCTCTATATTAAGGAGGAGTGATTAATTTTGGAAAAATCCTGACTTTGCATGAGCAGCAGTTAGAAAAGATGAACGCTGAGGTAAATGCTGTCAATCTGCCTGCCTAAAAATGTTTACGGGGGCTTTCACACTGGCAGTTTATTCCGGAACAGAGCAGGGTTTGATGAAAAATTGGTAATGTCAATGCTGTAGTGCGGGCAAGGACGCGCACCACGGTACCGAACCCGAGACTACCTGCAGGAGGTCCTATGAGTTCGGTTGCACCGGAACTGAGCCGTGATTTCCGGGAACGCAACTCGTACTCGTGTTCGCACTTGTTCAGGAAGTAAAGTACCTGCGCGTGTGTTTTACCTGATGACGACATCATTAGTTTCCACAACACACGTGTACCAGGGGAGTGGCAGGGGAACGTTATGGGACACAGAGGAGGTCCACTGCTGTGTGTAATATCTGCTGCACATAATAGCACCAAAATAATGAAAAAACAAGTCACGTTGTGTTCGTGTGTGTGCGATGATGTAAGATGAACGCAAATCCACAGAGGTTCGATAGAATCAGGTGAGTCTGAAACCAGACCAACACTGTGGGTACAATCGCACTCAGATTCGGACCTCAGCAAACTTGCCCGGTGTGAAAATCACCTAGAACCTGCTAGCTAAGTGTACTTTTCTTGCAATTTGAATAAGTTTGTAATCAGATAGTGCCGGTCACAATCTCTGTGATGCTTCAATGCCGACTCATCATCATCAAAACAGAAACACGCTTACACACTCTGTACAGATGACGGTCAAGACCAGGGCTGGGTCATATGACAAAAATATCATATCACGATACATGAGGACATTTCTGCAACACACAATGCTCATCACTATATATAAAGTAGGGAAGCTGTAGCTCAGCGGTTACGACGTTGGACTACTGATCGGACGGTTGTGAGTTGAAATCCCAGCACTGCCAATCTACCACTGCTGGATCCTTGAGCAAGGCCCTTAACCCTCAACTGCTCAGTTGTATAAATGAGATAATTGTAAGTCACTCGGGATAAGTGCGTCTGCCAAATGCTGTAATGTAATGTAATACAGTTTCACTAATAAACTGTCTGCAAAACACTAGTAAAATAGACACCGGCAAAAAAAACCCCAAAAAACGTTAAACTGAGTTTTAAAGAAGATTAATAGTTTTTTGTTTTTAATAAATTACGTCAAATCAACGGCGGTAATCTCAGAAAAGTCTGTCACGTAATAATTTCTCATGATATCGGTATTATACACGGCCTACTGTCCAATTAACATTCTGAATACCAGTATGAACGCTGTTTTCATTCCTGTATTGGCACCACTGAATAAATGTACCATGTTTCCTATTGTCCAAGTCTCACGTAGCATCTGAACCTGGAGCAGTAGTCAATATAAAAAAAATATAAAGAGTACAGTTGAATTAGGGAACACTAATCATGATCTAAAATGTCTGCCGTCGCCGAGTGGTTCCTTCCATAGAGGAAGTTTACTCGTAGCTAATTTTAGACCTGCCGACTTCCTTGTTAACAGCCTTATGTCTTTTAAGATGATTCGACTTGTTAAAGAATATTGGACGAAGTTTTATTATAATGATGTTCATCGTAATTCATTTTATATATAATGCTCTACAGCTTTGGCTTAGCCCTGCGTAATTTCTCACACTGGTGCATGTAGCCTACACCGTGTTTCAAAATGATGTGTTGTTTGGCAGAAAGCTCTCAGGAAAGGGCAGGTTCAGAACATCAATGCAGGAGATTCAACTCATGGTCACAGGAGCGGGATAATGATAGGGAGAACGGTTAAATCCTACCCATCTTTCTCCTGCATTTCAGACGTGCTTTGCTTTGCACTTCTTCCGTCTCTCTCTCTCTCTCTCTCTCTCTCTGTGTCCGTGTGTGTCACCCCCTCATTCTCAAAGCAGGTGTTTGATAATAGCACTGGCATTTTTGTCACATCTGTTCGGTTGGTCTATGTATGTGTGTGTGTGTGTGTGTGTGTGTGTGTGTGTGTGTGTGTGTGTGTGTGTGTGTGTGTGTATGTGCATGCACTGTTTTTGCTGTGTGAGATTATAGAAGCCAGAGGCCTGAAGAAGGCTGTGATGAGCTGATAATCACACACACTTTGCTGTACTGTTGTCCCCCCAGGCAGCAGCCGGAGTTCAGGATTACACGTTGCTCGCAGTCACAGAGGTGCAGGACTACATCCCTGCAAACACAGAACAATGAAAGAATTCTGACGTGCTGCAAGAGCTATACACCGCCTCGTATAAGAATTTCTTATTCATGGCAATCACGCATAAACTACCCAAGATTAGGTTCAAATATTATTAGTGTAATATTCCTTTAACTATTCTGTCTTTTCTGAGTAGGACGTATCCTTCCAGTGGTTGAGATAGATGTCTGTTGCCTACGCATTTGAGTTAATAGATCGGCTGATTTAGTATTGTGTGTTGACTAAGATGCATTTCCCTCAGTATGCTGTAGTGGCAGAATAAGCTGCATGCTAAAGCAGGAGTTGGATCTGCAGCTTCACTGTGACCCTCCCTGGCATCGTAGTGTTCAAAATGACGCCATGTGTCCTCGTGTTTACAAGCAGCTTCACAAGGGTTGACCGTTGAACTACAGTATAGCAAATGTGCTATCAAATGAAGACCTAAAGAGAGATTCCTGACCCCACGGTGTTACCTTAAACCTGTGTGCAGTGTCACGTGATCCTGGGAAACGTAATTATTAAAGATGATATTACATAGCGAGAGGAGAATTTTATTTTATTATATTGAAACACACTAAACACCGACGTCTGAATCACTGCGAAAATGTGTAGTATAACAAGATTTTTATTTATTTATTTTTACACACAAAAAAAACAAAAACAATACAGTATGCCTCAAGGGAAGGCTTTACCTTTCTGTGTCCTTGTTTTGAGGTGTGCTGTGGCAATGCTTTTAGATGTGCATTAGTGCAAAGTGTGTGCGAGTGCATGAGAGAGAGAGAGAGAGGTGCGAGAGAGAGAGAGAGTGAGTGAGTGTATGTGCTTGTAGCTTTGCATTTGTATCTGTATAGATGTTCAGATACCATAATGAGTGCTGTTTCCTGAAAACCATTGGATTAAGGATGTAAATTAAACACACCATGTAACTCTGACCACAGATATGTGTTCTCTATTGTTGAACTTTAATTCTGCTTGTGTTTGTGTTTACATCACACCTGTTCATTTGGCAGGTGCTTTGGTTTACATGTGCATTGCACATGTGAGGCAAGTCCACTCCAGGTAGTACAGTTATGACTAGAGTCAGCTTCAGTGAGCCTGCTACACGACCATGGTTCCGTTTCAGAAATAACGCAAGATAGACGTAGGAGGTGAAAGATAAAACATCAGTGTAATGCCAGGAGCAACAAGATAAAGCACAAAAACACATTGTGAAAAAATAAATAAATAAATAAATAAAACCAAATGATGCATATAGCACATGTGTGTGTGTGTGTGTGTGTGTGTGTGTGTGTGTGTGGTGCAAATTTATTACTTTTGAGAACTACAGACTTTCTAGAACTGAAGTGTGTTTCCCTTTTACATGCATAAGAAATAAAGTTATGGTATTTTATTTTTAAAAATCTCTGAAAAGAGAAAAATTTATTTGAAGACACTTTTGCCTTTCCGAAGAAAGATTCCAACACGTTCTAAATAAAATAGCTATAAAATGAGTATATCATAAGCGATATCCATATCCGTGTCACTAGTCTCCTGAGATAAATGTCAGTCAGTGTTTGGAATACAGTCATCATTTGGAGTCATCATTGTTTGATCTGACATCAATGCTAAAAAGAAAATCATTTATTAAGAGAGATTTGGTCTGCTCAGTCCTTCCAGGCTTTCGCGATCGCAGACATGAACACAAAATCAAGCAAATATTCGGAGGAGCTTGCAATTTTTCACACTTTCTGCAGATTTGGGCCAAGATGTCATCACCAAGTGCGTTCAGCCAAAGCCCTATTCGATTCACGTGCGTCGAACACGAGTACAGCTAAGAAGGTCTCAATTACCAACAAACATCACTGAGAAAGACCGTGCAAAAGAGTTTCATGCAATTTCCAATTCAAGTAGTTTTCTTTAAAAAATAAATAAATAAATAAATAAATAAAACACCAAAAATTCCACAAGTCACATTGCAAAATATGAAAGACGCCGCAGCAAAATCGAGCATTTTTGGCCGAAACAATCACAAAAATCCCTGTACGGACAGTCTGTTAGAAAAACTGCCTTATTTTTGGATTAACACTGAAAAATCACGATGTATCTCTAGTGTAAATGACGGTGTGTGAACATTACAGATCATTTAACAGCTGGAATTTAGACCTATAAACCGAACGCACATACAGTGGGGGAAAAAAGTATTTGATCCCCTGCTGATTTTGTACGTTTGCCCACTGACAAAGAAATGATCAGTCTATAATTTTAATGGTAGATTTATTTGAACAGTGAGAGACAGAACAACAACAAAAAAATCCAGAAAAACGCATGTCAAAAATGTTATAAATTGATTTGTATTTTAATGAGGGAAATAAGTATTTGACCCCTCTGCAAAACATGACTTAGTACTTGGTAATGACTTAGTAATTACTTTTCATTTTCAATGCCCTGGCTGAGGGAAGGAGGTTCTCACCCAAGATTTGATGGTACCTGGCCCCGTCCATCGTCCCTTTGATGCAGACGATCTCCCCTTAGCAGAAAAACACCCCAAAACATAATGTTGGTGTTCTTGGGGTCATAGGCAGCATTCCTCCTCCTCCAAACACGGCGAGTTGAGTTGATGCCAAAGAGCTCCATTTTGGTCTCATCTGACTACAACACTTTCACCCAGTTGTCCTCTGGTGTTCAGATGAGACCAAAATGGAGCTCTTTGGTATCAACTCAACTCGCCGTGTTTGGAGGAGGAACATTTTTTCCAAAACAAGTAAGTCGTTTTTATTAATCAGGAAATGTATTTTATTTATACTAGCTCCATGTAAGGTTTATCAGTCAAAAAAAAAACACGCTGATTTGAATAAACAAAAGCTAGTCTTATTTAAGTAATCTTTCATTTACAAAACATTAACATTTTAAATAATTGCAAATGCATATAGGGTAATTGTCTTTCACTGAATACTGACTAGAGAGCATAAAACACTTGCTAAAGGGGACGCAATCGCAGTTGCACAGATAATGAAACAAGACTTTAGCAAATATCCCAAAAAAAACCCTTGATCAAAGCAATTAAAACATATTTCAACAAACTGACTGATTTTACAGACGCATTTGTTTACCTTATTTATTTATTTATCACGCTCAGGTTTATAGTGTGAAGTTGTGTGAAACAGATCATATGGGACAGATTGGATAAATCAGGTTTGTGAGAGCAGATCAGTGTTATTTGATGGAATATGTTACTAATGGGAATAACCCCATACTTACTCGGACGCTTTTATGTTTGCCCCAGCTGGGCAGAACGGAGGCAAAGTGATACAATGCTCTTGTCAGCTCTTGACAGCTCCCAGCATGCCTTTCACCTGGGAATAGTGCTCTCCTGTCAGATGCTGTGAGCATTAAAGCGATGCGTCAAATTGTATGGTGTCTGATAATCCAAATAATTGTCACGTCAGCAGCCATGGGTATAGCTGTCATGAGCATCCTCGGTATTGTGCATTGTTGGTTAATGTTTAATGACTAAAGGTTATTCTGGGTTTGGCAGCATGTGTCTGAAACAAAAATGATGTCTCCATAGGAATTTGGCTGAGCCTTAAAGAACTCGTCCAGTCCCCATTATGCCTGATTGGCCCATTCATTTCATTCCTATTATTCATTTACTCCACTGCCTTTTGTGTCCATGGCAACAGGCATCACTTGTTATAGCATATCCAGAGATTCAGTCCTATTACCATTACCGGTTAAAGACTACCCATTGTT